ACAAGTGTTGTCATTCACTGGCTCACCAAAACTTGGGTAAATAATTATCTTACATGTTTTTCTTAATCTTTCTTAAATGCTTGTTTAGTTCACTTTTATTTCAATATTTATTATCATATATGGTAATGCAAGACTTACTGCAGAAAATACTACTAAATCTATCAATACTTTTAAATTTGTTGGAAAAAAGTCAGGTGAAGTTTAGGAGAAAGAAGAGGAGAAGGGTAGAAGAAATTTGATAAGCATGGTAACTAGAGTTGCATCAAACGAGTGGGACTAAAGGTAATTCTCTTATTTTAACAAGCTGTCTAAATCCTTTTTGTTTTTTTAATATAAAGAATTTTCTGAACAAAATAAACAAAACTACATTTTACATACAATTTACAACAACTTCCTTTTATACTTCTACTAAAATACCTAAATACCGAACTCATAATCTGTTTTAAATTTTCTACCACATCACAGAAAATATAAGGATTAACATTACACATTCTCTTGCTCATAAAACTATTAAATTAATACACACTATAAATGAGTCATCCAATTAATAGGTTTCATAAATCCAAAATTTCAGCACAGGTTTTAAAAACCATACTCGGCATCATCAGTATAGTTATCAAAATGGAATTAGTGAAACTTGCCATGATTTTATGCTCAAAAAGACTAAAATTAAAAAAAAAACAATTCCTGTATGAAAGTATAAAAATAGGGGCCTCCCTGATGACCTAGGAGTTAAGTCTCAGCACTATCACTGCTATCGCTTGAGTTCGAGCCCCAGCTGGGGAGCTGTCCCACACATGCTGCAACAGACCTCTCCTGTCTCTCCTGCTCCCTTTAGCAGTGTATTTCAATAAACACACCTTCTGCTCACCACTTTATCTCTGGTGAATCCTCTCACCACCCCCGTACCTCTAGCCTACACCCCAGTTCTTCTACAAAAATAAGTATTTTTTTAAAAAAAGTATAAAATGAAACTTTGACTAACAACATCGTAAACCAGGGTTGATGTTGCCTTCAAACTACACTTTCAAACAGAACAATAAATAGAGCAAAACTGAGTCACATAAACAATAACAAGAATCAGTCCTAAGATCAATTTCCTTCTGGAAAAGTTCTAAATATTCTAAAATACAGTACCTAAAAGTGCAAGCCTGATTGCCAGAGGAACTTAAATTCCAAATAAATAATGTTGCCAGATCTGACAAAAATAAATATTATGCCAAATCTTTACCAATACAAAATTGTCAAAAATAATCTTCAGGGCCCTCCCTGGTGGCACAGCAGGTTAAAGTACAGCACTAAGAAGCTAAAGCCACTTCAGCACAAGTTCAACCCCAGCCAGGGAGGTGATACACGCAAACTTCTCAGCAGTGTACTTAGTCAGTCAGCCTGTTCTGCTCCCCACTCTGTCTCTGGTGAATCTTCTCACCCCACCCGCACCTCTAGCTTGTACTCCAGTTCTGTATGCATAAGTAAATAAATCTTTTTAAAAAATTAAAATCAACTCTTCTTAGATCCATCAGAGAGTTCAGGTCAGAAACAAACTGCAACCCTGAACCTGGAAGGCAGATACGGAACACTGACAGCAGTGAGAAGTAAAGCCCAGGCACATGAGATCTCAGCAGGAGCCACTGTCACCAGGAACACTTTCAACAGAAGTGACAAGTTGTTGGAAGCTCAGTGTGGACTAGCTGAGAACAAACCATAAGTGACTGTCTTTGAGGGATCCACCTCACTTCCTTGAGTTTTACCTCTAAGAGCTCTGCAAGTACTCAATATAAAAATGTGGGGGGCAAGAAATTTCTTCTTTGCTTCTATCAGGAAACAAAGAAAAATAACCATTTTGGAAAATGCCCAAAACATTCTGTTCTTAAAAAGTCTGCCTGAGAAGATTATTTTAAGAGAGCCTAGTCAGCTGTAGTTTTAGAATCTAACCTACCAGGGATTTATAGTGTCTAACCTACCAAAGGAAAAGGAAATAGCTAACTCCATCCCTCTATATGTCAGCGTTAAGTTCTATTCATATTGTCACAAAAAGCAAAATTTAATCTTTCCTATCAGCTGAGTAATGTTCTACTGAATACATATACCACAATTTCCATACCTTTTAGTGCAATGATGGGCATTCACCTCCTTTGCTAAGTTTATGCTCAGATATTTCATCCTTACTGGTATGCTTGTAAATAGGACAGTTTTCTTAATTTCTCTTTTCTCTAATTCACTCTTTGCACATAGAAATGTACCAGATTTTTGTTTATTGCTTTTGTATCCTATCACTTTACTGTACTAATATTTTCAGTGGGTGTTTTCAGTGACACCTTTAAGAATGGTGATATCTTTAGGATCTGTACAATTGAATAGTAGTACAAGAATGAATGTCCATATCTTGTTTGATTTGGGGGGAAGTATATTAGCTGTGAGTCCGTTATATATGGCCTTTATTGTGTTGAGACGTTTCTCTTACTCCCAATTTATTGAGATTTTTATTAATCATAAATAGGTAGTGAATCTTGTCAAATTATTTTCCAGCCTCTACTGATATGATCATATGATTTTAACCTATCTCCTCTCTTTTGATTTGGAGAACAAACTTGATTGACTTGTACACTGGACCATCCTTTCATCCCTAAAATGAATCCCCCTTATTCATGAGGTGCAATTTTCTAAATGTATTCCCAGATTCAATTTGCAAAGATTTTGTTAAGGATTTTTGCATCTATGTTCATCTGAGCTTCTTTTTCTGTGTTTTCCTTGTCTAATCTTGGGATTAAGGTAATAATGGTCTTGGAAGCATTCACTCTCTTCAAATTTGATTTGGGAATGGTTTTGGAAGCATTCACTCTCTTCAAACTTTTTTGTAGGGTTTTGAGGACAGGTATTTGATTTTCTTCCAAAGTTTGGTAGAACTCGCTAGCAATGCCATCTGGCCCTGGCATTTGTTCTTAGGAAGACTTATTATTGTTTTGTTTTTTGTGCCTATGATTGGTCTGTTCAAGCAATCTATTTCATCCTCATTTAGTATTAAAAGGTTCTATGATTCTAAAAGTTAGTCTATTTCTTCTACGTTGTCCAATTTGTTTGCATATAGATGTTCACAGCAGTCTCTTATGATCTTTTGTGTATTTCTGCAGTATTTGTTGTAACTTCATTTTTTTCATAACTGTTTCTTTTCGTGGAGTTTTCTTTCCTTTTTTCTTAGTAAACCGATCTAAGTTTTCATCAATTTTATTATTTCAAAAGAACCAGCTCTTGGTTTTATAGACCTTTTATATTATCTTTTTGGCTTCTATTTCATTTATTTCTGCTCTAATTATTTTAATATTTTCTTCTTTCCACTGCTTTTGTTTTTTGTTTTTTCCTAGTATCTTCAGTTATAAGATCAAATTGTTTATTTGAGACTTGTTTATTGATGTGTGCTATATTGCTATGAACTTCCCTTTTATAATATTGCTTTTGCTCTATCACATAGAATCCAGTAATTTCTATCTTCATTCATGTTATTTTCCACATAATTCCTGTTTCTTTTTGAGTTCTTTATGACACGAGTTATTTTGTTTAGTCTCCACATGTTTAGGATTTCTTAGGTTTTGTGTGATTATTTTTTGTGTGGCTGATTTCTAGTTTCATAGCTTTGTGATCAGAAAAGATGCATGATATGCTTCCAATCTTCATATATTTATTGAGACTTATTTTGTGACCTAGCAACTTTTCTTCCATGAGAATGTTCCATGTGTACTTGAGAAAGATGGGTATTCATTTCTTTTTTGGATGGAGCTTTTCATACATGTCTAAGTTCATCTGAGCATTACTTCACTTAAGGCCATTATTCCCTGTTTCTATCACTGGATGTATATTTCAGACAGAAAATATAGATCCAGTGATATAAATGGTCTTTGAGATCCCCTACTATTACCATGTTGCTTTAGTCTTTATTCAGTTAACAGTTTTTTGAAAAACATTATTTTTTTTAAGATTTATTTATTTATGCATATAGAATTGGAATACAGGACAGAGATGCAAGGAGTGAGAGGATTCACCAGAGACCAAGTGACGAGCAGAACAGGCAGATCAACAAAGTACACTGCTGAGGGGAGCAGTGGGCAGGTTAGGAGAGGTCTGCCATACCACGTGGGTCACCTCCCTGGCTGAGGATTGAACTCATGTTGCAGTGGTTGCTCTACCAGGGAGGGCTCTAACAGTTATTTTTTATTTTATCATAACAAAAAAGAGCAACAAATAAAAGAAATATGTGACTTAAATCCATAACTCTCCCAAATGTCCACTAGCGACTAATAGGGTAAATCAGTTTGTTATATACATATATTAAAATTACTCAGCAATAAAAAATAGGTGAACTACCAACACATATGACATGGATGACTCCCAGTAAATGTTAAGTGAAAGAAGTCATATTTTAAAAAGTACACACAAAATTTTTCCATTTAATTGATATATTGGACAAGGTAAACTATAGGAACAAGTAACAGATCAGTGTTTACCAGAGGTTAGGTAGTGGAAAAAGTTTACAAGGAAGCAACATAATTGTTATTTAGAAGATTATGATGATGAATATATGTAAGTCAAAGCTCACATACTCCACTAAAAATCATTTTAATGTGTGACTAAAATCTGGACAAGAATGAAACCTTTAAAAGTCACCTAACAATGCCAACATTTTTTAAGACAAGTTTCTTTGCATCATCAGACATGCCCTATAACAATGCCAAAAGTACAATATGCCATATTCAACCACACTTATCTAATCCTTTAAAGTACAAAGTTGTTAAGTAGAAAGTAAAATACTTTTTGTTTCATTCATTGCAGCCTGTACATAGCAGACAGTGAGAAATGTTAACCATTAAACTATTTAATAGAGTCTAGATTGACCTGGCCTTTTTACCTCACTAGTACATACATATGTAACTTTAGACACAAAATTATCCATTTCTCAAAATTTTAACATAAATGCAACAAGAAAGGGGCATCACAAATTTACTGACCTGAATTTCTTCAGTTAATCAATAAAGATAACACAGCACTTTATCTTGAATGAAGACAATATCAAAGTCATGTGTGTCCTCTTAGCAAAAGCAGTAGCCTAGAATCAAAGCAAAATATATGCAATTCATCTCTACTCAAATTTTGGTTAGCAGTATTTACATTTTTTAAAAAATCACTTTTATTTTCTCTTATGTAGCCAGTAATAACATGTAAAGCTTTTGTAAATACACTCATTCTACAAGCAGAGCTTTTCAAATTCCAGTAAGGAATGGACTTTCATTTTGCCAATTATACTCTGTTGCAGTAATACTCAGTGTCTTAATTTACTTCATAACTCCTCTTAAGTCAGCACCTAAAGAACTTGCTTTGAATTTGCTTGAACACAAACATTAACAAGCTTTTTAACATATAGGGTAATCAGAAATGTTCTCTTTTCAGACTAACACTAAAACCTTCTACATCCTCCACTCCCAATTAGCTCTACAGCCTAATTTCTTATTATCTTCATCAACACAACTTCTATTAAATTCACTTGCTTTCCACAGAGTAATTTGGTCATTCTCAGCTATCACCCAGCAATTCATCATTCCTCCTTCTTTTCAGAACAATAACTTTTTTCTCCTTTATTCTCTTTATCAGGGATAACCTTCCACTTTCAAGACTCTTGACCCTCAATATTTCCCTAAGAACTGACATAATCATTCTGTACAACATTAATATTTTCAAATTCTGCTTTATATGTTACATCTCATGATTAGGGACCCCCATCTCCTACTTTTGTTGCTGTGTCTCTAACAACTAAATACCACATTTGTCATATAGAAACTTATGACTGACCCACAAGTGAAATTATTTTAATATAAATTCCCATAACTAATACTCACTGAGTACTATGTGCAAGTCATAAGTACAAATACCCAAGAATATTCTTAGTATAAACATTCCATAGGAAACTACCTTTCTGACAGTCATTTCACTGTTGTTACAATGTGAAATTATTCTCAAATTGCCATTATAATTATGTAAAGCAGTCTTTCTCCAATGACATCAAAACCCACTGAAACCAAATTTTGATAATTAGAACTAGTAAAAAAAGCATCATCACACAACTCCAACTATCCCACCACAGAAGTAATCCAACTATTTTTCATTCAAAATTCAAGAGTCAAAAAAAAAAATCTATTCTGTGACAGAACAGCCCCTAAGAACATTCGATAAATTACTCTAAATCAAAAATAATAAACACATTTGTGTAGTGCTTTACTACTTACACAATCACGTGATGGGTCTAGTTGAAAAGGATCCTGTGTCGCTGAAGACACAGAAAAGGTCAAAAACGGAACATCTAGAAATGAAAACTACAATTTGGAGGTATTCTGCCAGATACTCGGTGAATCATGAGATTTTTGTATTTTGATGGATTCAGGCTCTATTCCTGGCGCTGTGTGAATTGTGAGTATTGCATTGTTTTTTCAATTCATTTTGGGTGGGTCTTCCTAAGTCTCAAGTACACTTAGTGCTCAATTGAATTCTTCAAAGGGATCTTTGCAGATCTGCAATTCTCTTCCCACTCTCTCTTCTCTGGTACTCTGTCCTCTGAACTCTAGCTGCCTTAGCTACTCAACCTAACTCAGAAACATCTCTGAGCTCCTCCTGGGCTCTCCAAGGTAAGAGTGAACAGAGGGATTCTAATTTGTTTTTCATTGTTTAGTTATTTATCTTCTGTTGCCTGAGGGCAAATATCTTAAGAAGTGGTTTCAGGAAGGATACCAATCTCTGCTAGCCCACCTTAGCTGGAACATTATTTTAATTATTTCAAAGGGGGACTGAACTGAATTAATCTTGTGATAGCAATGAATGTTGAAACTTTCCAAAAATCAAATTATTCAATTAACATCATTGATATGTTAGTAAGTTATCCTGAAACATGTAACAAATGCACAATGTGGTACAAAAAGAATATTAACTATGAAAGTGAAACAGGCAAATAAAATACCAGCTGAGTACAAAGAATAAAAAGCACCCAATGCTCAAAATTATAAAAACTCAATATAAGGTAAAACTAATTTTAGAAAAGATTTCTCTGAAAGAAATATACTTAGGAAAATACAACTAAGAGTTTGGCAAACAAACATGTTCAAATCAAATATACAGAGGGAATAATTCACTTAGGAGGAAATGTAATATTTGCTTATCAGTGACATCTAAATTCAGTTTATCAAATGTTGTAAGATCAACTAAGATCAACTATAGACTAATTGGAAGTAAACATACAGAAAGTAAAACAAATCTTTAGGAGAAACACAACAATTAAATTAACACCTTAAATTCTCCCCATAAGAAAGACAAATCCTTTAGAAGATTTTAAAGAAAGCAGTACAGAAAGAGAGCTAAGTATCACAAGTTTTGTTTTCAATCTCTGATGTTGAACACAGTCATTTTTATCCACATTGTTACAAAGTAAGAAGAATGAGCTAAATGAACACATTCTGGGTGGGAAAAGAAAAATAGCCACCCCCATTGAATCTAATCATACTTCCTTTTATTAAAAAAAAGAAGAAGAAGAAAAGAAAAAAAACAAGTGATCCAAGATGTTTACAACAACACCTTCAGAGAATGAAGGCTGTAACACATTTAAATTTAAGAGGTAAAATAGCTCAGTGCTTAGACTGATGATCTGAAAACTATTCTTGGTTCCCCAAAAGTTAGACTTCAAAAACAGAGGTGATCCAAGTGGGCGAGGAGTATGTATAGATCAGACTACCAGATAGAAGTGGCCAGTGATAGAACTGGGGAGAGCCCACAGGCTGCCTAATATAAATAATTGATATTTATGATAAATTTGTCAATCTCCATTTAGAATGGGTCATCCAGCAGCTGATTTAAATTTAAAAAGCAAAAAGTGTCTTTTCACTATACAACAACATGAAGAAAGAAAACAAGATGGAGAAAGTAAGTCCTAATGGAAAAGAACAAGCTCATTATAATACGTCTGTTCTCCTTACTGAAATAATGTGCCAACAAATCTGGCTTATCAAAAGAAAATGTTCCTTCTAACATTCCTTCTATAATGGCAAGCAAAATTCAGTAAAGTAGGCGATATTGAGGGGGAAAAGAAAGTACTTTGGGTTAAATGAAAAAGAAAATGAATTTTAGGAATAAATGAAGAGCTGAGAGATCTGTTTTATCTAGTATTTCAACAAAAATTCACTATTATTCATCATTAAACTCATATTTACTGATAAGCACTTGTTTCTGCCTTCTTAGCACTTGTTTCTTAAATGATTTTGAAAAGTAACATTACTTTAAAGCAAAATTAAACTCTCAATTAGGAAATAAGTGAAATCCTAACTCCTCTCCCCTCCTCTCCTTAAGGTGTCTGCACACTATCAACATAAACTAGCACTGAGTCAAATTTACTGTAATATATTTTATCTAGTTTCTTACCAAGTAATATGACCCATGAAAATCTTTATTGATATTAGTGTAGGTAAATCTGTCCTAAAGTTATGAGAGCTGTTTGACATTACAAAATCAATTCCCGTTTTTGTTCCTCCTCAGGCCAGACCTCTATGCCAAAAATCACTAAAATAAAAATTAAATGACTTCTGTCATCCTTAACTTATATATTTGTTCAGATAAGCTTTATAAAATCACCTAAATTTAGATCTCTGGAAACTGTATCAATTATCTATTACAGTTAAGGTCCTTTTAATAGTTATTATCTTCTCAGCTCTGCTGAAATCAGAAGGCAAAATAGTACAATTTCCATCATTCATTTTAAATTCCCACAGGAAATAGTTTTTGACTCTTTCAATCTATTTCGGTATTTTTACCCACTTCATTCTCACAAGACTGTAATGTACACCGTGAGAATATATTCGCCTTCTATATTCATATTTACATATATTTAGTGGTTTCAAGCACACTGCCTTGACACACAAAAGTATTTAAAATTTCTGTTTGTCAGCATCCTTTCTAATCATCTAACTAAGATATTGCAAGGATTAAATAGCATAGAATCCGTGAGAATACTCTGCAAATAAAAATGGTTTTGCAGATGTCAGACAAATTTCATTTCATTATTTATGACTTCCCAAAATTTAGCTGTCAAGTAATGGAGCACTACAGGGAATGAGAACAAAACAAACAGCACTCATGATTTGCATGAACTTGAAGGCAGCTCTAAGCTTCTTCTGTCTCACACTCCAATTGAATCCAACTGGTCATGGCAGAAGCTTTCTTTCATCATCATGGCATCATCCCAGTACCTAGTACCCCAAACATCAACTAGCATTTTTATGATTTCCCACACCAGTTCTAGTTTCCAATCTACAGTTCATAATAATTGGACTTTTTTTTTTTTTCTTGAGGTGCTGGGGGTGGGGTGGAAAGCAAAGGGGGTTTAAAATCTTCTACCTAGCTCTTCTCTTACCTGGATAAAATACAAAAGTAAAATCAACATGCTGGAAAATCTTAGGGACCCAACATTATCCTTATGATGTTGAGTAAATCACTTGTGTAATTTCTGTAATCACTGTTTTTTAATCAGTGTTTTTTTAAATCATGTTCCTTTTTTTAAAGTCAGTATAAATATGTAGCATTGCCTCAGCTGTACTTTAAGTAGGCTATGAGTAGTCTGGAATCTGGGTTATTGTGACTTTCAAGAACACATTCGGGCACTGAGGAAAGAATACTTAAATAAAATTGAAGAGATTTAACAGTCTAGTCCCAGCTCTGAGTATAAATTTACTATATGATTTGGTATCACTTCCCTTGACTTTGAGTTCTTCTTCTATAAATGAAAGAATTGGAATTGAAAGGTCTTTTCCAGCTTTAAAATTCTTGAACTAAAAGCCTTCTAGGAATCATTAAATTCTTCAGTTTATTTTCAATTTACTTTTTTACTTCTTCCTACATACCCTCTTCTCCAACAACACCATAAATATAAATAATTCATCTAGACAAGAATTTGAGAAACTTAGTTCTGGAAGAAAATTTCTCTTCCATCACTTGCTAAAATACTTCTTTTCAACTCAAAGGGAGGGTTGGAATGTATCATTCCCACTCCACTGACCTTCAGGAAGGAGCAGAGTG